GCTTTGACCTGAGAGCAAAAATTGAAGATGTGAGCGGTGTACAGTGAACACAACTTCACAATAGTAGACAATTCTTCAAAGAAGAGGCTGTCAAACTAAACATAAAACAAACAGAATTGCACATTGTGGATTTAAAACAACCACTAACCTGCTTTTGAGCAATTAATTTAGCCAAATGCTAATGAATAGCATTAGTGTTGAATGTTATAACCCTAAAATATGTATTTCATTCCTGAGCAGCGACCACTGCGTGGTCTGTGTTTTGAGTTGAATTAATTAATTGAAGAAATATTTTTTTTTCCTTTATTATTATTGCTATACACGAGAAATTACATTTTGAGGGCCTAAACATGCATGAAAACTCACCAAACTCTGCATACACATCGGGCCTTTTGAAAATTGTAATATTTTAAAGTTGTCATTCACAATCACCCCCCCAAAAATGGCTCTGTTGTGCCCCCTCTGGAGCTTTTATTAGAGCCCCTAGCCTGGTACATTTTACCAAGTTTGTTCATTTATTTTTAAACAGAATTACATATTTATTTATAATTGCTCATGTGTTGTATGTTTATCTTATTTCCCTTAATTTGGTATTTACATTTACTTAATTGTATTTTTTTATGTACTGCTATTTATTTCATTGTATGTAGGATTTTCCATTTCATTTTGTATTGTAACTATTTTTTTTCATTTCACTTCATCTTCTTAAAATTTGATATTGTAAATGTATTTCGCTCTATTTGATAGCCCATTTGAATGCATTATTTGATGTTTTGTCTTTTTTTGTTTGAATACATACCTGTATATTCAATTACAGCTACTGTATGTATTACAGCATGGCTCAGGTCGACATCTCGCATATCCACAGATTATGGATTCAAATCTGAGCGAGCGCCTATGACCAATAGTCAAAGTGCCCTTGAGCAAGATATTGAACCCCCATTTTGCTCCTGGACCTGCGTCACCAGTAGATGAATGAGGGGGACCATGTTAATGCACTTTGAGTACCTTGAATGTAAAAAAAGTGCTGTACAACACAAAGCCCATTTCCCATATAAATGGAAATGGAAGGATATGGGTTTGTGTGTGTGTGTGTGTGTATGTGTGTGTGCGTGCGTGCGTGCGTGTGTGCGCGTGTGTGTGGTGTGTGTGTGTGTGCGCGCCTGTGGGCCGTGCAGAAACAACTGGAAGGTCATTAGTGGAGCGCACACGTCTGAGCAGAAAGGAACTGGAGTGAAGTCTTTGTGGGAATGAGATTACTCCACAAAAGATAAATGCTAAATGAATTAGGCCTTAACCTCATAATTGTTATTTTGAGACTAGAGATATAATTAGATGTATTCAAAAATACACATTTTCATTTTGCAAAATTTAAAAGGCCACCCCTGCACAATCGAATGCATTCATTGAAAAGGGTGATGAAATTGGCAAAATGGCAAATCTTGTGAGATGAGCCCCATTCAGACACAAAAAATATGTGCCAACACAAAATTTGTCAAGAATCGTTGCAGGTGTAACTATAAATTTGCAGTGGCAAACATTTATTATTAAGTTTATGAATTTCATTTCTGATCAGATAGTGTCGTTACCTCGATATGACGAAGCAGCATTTGTATTTTTAACACGGCCTATTCCAAGTAATTGTAAACTTCAAATTCGCTGGACCTGATGAAATTTCTGAACCTGATGTTTGACCTTTAACTGGACGTTGTCTGTGGCACACAACAGTTCCATCCTCTCTCGTATTACTAAAGGAGCTTGGGTTTCTTCCATGTTGCGAAAGCGAACAGAGAGGACATGAAGACAAACTGAGAAGCGAAAGAGTGACACGGGCAAGAGAAGAAACTGGAGCTGAAAATCTCTCTCTCCCTCAGCAGTATCGATTAAAGGCTCGTCTGCCACGGCGTTAGTATCAGTTCGACAGAAGAGCCGACGAGACGTCCTCCTGGGCAGTACGGTGTCCTATGAGTTAGCACGTCTGCCTCAGAGTTCTGAGGTTCTGGGTTTGAATCTCTGCAACAGCCTTCCGTGTTTTAAATGTTTCCCCGAGTCAAACGATCAGCTCGTCGGCAAGCTCTGTGTTTCTGTTGTAGGCACTCTCATGGGCCATTGCAGAAGCAAGGAGGCAGCAGTGCGGAGATGTTTACAAAGAAACCTCCTCCAGGTAAGCCCTAGAC